AATGCTACACACATTGTTACTAGATCAACCAACAATTCTACACACATTGTTACTAGATCAACCAACAATTCTACACACATTGTTACTAGATCAACCAACAATTCTACACACATTGTTACTAGATCAACCAACAATTCTACACACATTGTTACTAGATCAACCAACAATTCTACACACATTGTTACTAGATCGACCAACAATTCTACACACATTGTTACTAGATCAACCAACAATTCTGTGTTATCCAAGCATTATGCAGAAACTAGATATTTGTTTTTTAAGTTGCTTTAGTCAAAATGAATGTTTTTTTATATTTTAGCTTCTAGAATGAAACCAGTGCTACATTTGTTAAGAATAAAACTTATAGAAAAAATCCAACAAGAATTTCCTCTTTTTTTGGACTATGAAATTCAACTGTTAAAACAAATTTGAACTTAATATTTTCTGTCCAAACTGAAAACACCTTAACTTCACATGGCACGTAGACAGAGCTCATTAATTCATCTTCACCAGTCCCTTTGTAGCACTATTGGGGCACCACATCTGTGGACTGGCTCTTTCAATTTCTTTGTCTTTTGACAGGATTAGTTGATATTTTTCATTGACAATGTTCTCCATTACTATTATTATTATTATTATTACAAAACATTCAAGATAATATTGTAGAACGTGTAAGAGCCTTATTTTCACTGCTACATGCTCAGGTTATACAAATAATGAGAACATTAGACACTAGGACTTTTTTCTGAAAGAGGAAAAGTGCATTTTCCTTTGTTACCTTCATCATGAAGCAGCATTTTGTTTCTATATTTATAACACTAAGTTCTTAGAACTTTGAATGCAAACTTTGAAGCGTGGTCGAGAGGCTAAGTGCGCTTGAACTTGGCTTGTCTTGGCTACCTAGAAGAGGGGTGAGGTTCGACACCCGACTTGGGCAGGTTGTGTTTACTGAGCGCCTAAAGGCAGCACGGAAAACCAACTCCTAGATACCCCCTCCCACTGGTCCACAAATGAGATTGGACCAAAGCGCTCTGAGCATGCTATAAGAATGAAAGTAGCGCTATATAAAAAAGATATAATAATAATAAAGATAGACTTTTATTTCTAACTTTTTTTTTTGCTTAGATTCCATCTCCCTTAGATATGTCTAGACTGTACCCATTTTTTTTGGTTTTTATCTTATCTTATATAATACAGACGTTACTTCAAAAAAGAAGATGATTACGTCCTACGCGTCATGCATTTAGTCATGCATATTAATCAATGACTTAAATTCTGCCAAGTCACTGGTTTTCCTAGCTAGCTCAGGCAACCCATTCCATGCTCTAATAGCACTAGGGAAGAAGGAGTATTTGTACAAATTTGTCCTAGCATATGGGACGAGGAATGTGACATCTGAGTAGACATCTGTTCTACATTAATAGACATGATGTATAAAACCAGTGACTTGGCGGAGTTTAGGTCATTGGTTAATATGCATGACTAAATGCATAACGAGTAGGACATAATCATCTTCTTTTTTGAAGTCATCATCATCATCATCATCAACTCCATTTGAGTGAGGGCTTGAGAGGCTCAAATCCTCTCTTGCAAAAGCCCTGGACAGAAACCCTGTTGTCTTGCGTAGTGCATAAATGTCGAGAATTTTTGGTTTCCGGACCTGTAGAGACGGAGATCAGTAAGTCTGGGGCAGCCAAACATAATATAAGGCACGGTTTCCTCTTCTTCCCCGCAGTGGGGGCACCATGAATCGAAATTCGGCCATAGCTGTGAGAAATATGACCCAACAGGACAATGGCCTGTCCTGCACTGTGCTATAATAGCTTGCTCAGGCCTGGACAGCCTCCACCACGAAGAAGTGCGGTCAGGGCACCTCATGCGCTCCCACTCCAAAGGCTTTTTGGGACTTGTCCCAGCACTCAAACCACTTTTCCATTTCTGTTTTTTTAATTATAGCCAGAGCATGATGAAAACTTACAGCCTGTTCATAGGGTGGAATTTGCCCTCCCTGGTGGGCCAAGGAGTCTGCAATAGTGTCTTTTTGAAGTAAGGTCTGCATCATAAGATAAGATGAAGATAACAAAGTTTAATTACAATATATATTTTTTTTTTGAATAGCTATCTGTTATTCCTCTTTAGGGTGTAGCTTCTACCTATTTGTTTAATTTTAAAAAATTTTAGTCTTGGAGTCTTGCCATTCTTTATCAAACACTTTATATTTTAAGACATTTTCTTGAACTTTTTTTTTTATATTGAAATTATGTGCTAGCAGAAATATACATGATAGCCAACATTTGTTTGAAAAATTCAAAGACAACACAATGGATCTAAACATTGTCTACATTTGAGTGAAGTGATTGAGATGGGAACTAAACATTTCATGATGATCTAAGGAATATTCATGCACATTGTCATCCACATTGGTCAGATGGTGTTGATTTCTATAAATAACATTTACCTGTACATACTTACAGTACAGACACCTTACAATTTGCTTTCTATATTAGATTGTCTAATCAACTGATTTCCCCCTCCCCCACCTAATAGAGCTTACATAATTATGTTTTTTTTTTGTTTGAATGTGAGTACAAAATGTTTATTATTAGATCTGATTTTTTTTTATCACTACTAAATGACCTGAAGCTTTTCTGTACACAACAATTTTTACTCAAGTTTTTATTCTGTCATTATTGTATTTTGATGTTGCTAAGACTTGTACAAATCATTCGAATCACTTCATGTCCAAATCTTCAAGTCTAAAGTCTAAGGAGCTGTGGTTTCTGGACTAAAGGATCCTGGGATTCTTAATTTAGGGATCTTTGGGGGTGCCTCTGACTCCACCCAGCTCTTATGGGTACCTTACATTAGTTGTGGAAAGTAAAGGAGGTTGGTCTTTGTAATGGCCACATGAGACCATTGGAGCTACAGAAACAGATGATTATCCGCCCTAGAAGTCACAAGGTCTGAAAACAAAAATTAACTTACTACCTATTAAGCAATGCATCTTTTATTTAGTTTGCCACTGCACATGGAGACTAGGGAGCTGAAATTGTAGGCTAATTACTTTGACCAATGTTTCTCAAACTTTTACATGCGCCCCCCCCCCCTTTTCCCCAAGAATTTAATTAAAGCACAATATTTTGGGTTTTCTTCACATATCTATTTACAATATGTTTGGAATCCTTTTACATAATAGATGTTCATTAGAGCTAGTCTTTTTTCTTTTAAAGCTAATTATTCATAGATCATTTGTAAAGTCTTTTATAAATGTTTTTTCTGGAGTTAATAGTTGAGTGGAAGCAAGTCTCCTCCCCCCTCTCCTTCTAGTCAGTAGGAGGGTCCTGAAATCTCCCACCAGGGTCCAGGGCAGAGCCCCAGTGCCAAATATTTATCTGGATTCTAAGCTTCAGAAATTCATTCTCCTGGAGTCAATAACACACTTCTATTGTAAGAAGAAAAAAGATCAAATAAAGTTACTGTAAGAAGTTGTGTGATGGGATGATATTGAAATGTTTCCCTGCATTGAAGAAGTGAAAATCCATTCTACTGGTAGGTTATAAAAAAACAACTAGGGACATGAGATACATATAGTGAATGTACGTCTGTTATAGAATCTTGTTTTAAGTACCACACCTATAAATTTTTTGTTGTCATGCAAAAATTTCATTAGAACAAATTCCACTTTTCTAGTCAAGTAAAACTGCCTTAGCAAAAATGCAGTAAGACCTCTTAGCAAAAAAAAAAAAAAAAAAAAAAAAGTTAGTGTCAATCTTGTTGCAAATGAAATGGTAGACATTATATGGAGTTTCTGCTTAGAAGATAAAAGATGTTCCTTAATTCAATGAATGTAACTTTTGATACAGAGGGAATGCCATCTTCACTTGGTTTGTAGTCATTGACATCTACAATGAAAATATTTTGTTGTCCCTTCAAAAATACATTTGACCTCTTCACTCCCCTTTCTTTCACATTTTTGAGAACCACTAACTTAAGCTACACATTTTGTGTGTGTGTGTGAAAATAGAACATTTTCTTTGCCTCCTTGGTTTACGTTTAACAATAGATTCAATTACTTCTGAGTCCCTTATTACTAACATTTGCTTTAACTAGACTTGATTTGGCCACATCATAGACTTTGAATAATTAGAGCCCAAAGACTTTAGAGACTTCCTTGGTTGTAAGTTTTTTAAAAATATTTGTGTCCCTTATATACTTACAAATTAATTTTTTTCCTTAAAATAAAACTAGAATTGTCTATTTCAATTTGTTTCAAATAAAAGTATTTCGATTGAAAGAAGAGAGAAAGTATTTTTGCACATCATTTTTTTATTTACACAAAACTGGAGCTGAGTACGGAATGAAACACCATGAAATTTGGACATTTGTTTGTTGTCATCAAGAAACTAGAATACATTGAATGACCAAATAGTACACAGAAAACTGATCCAAACAAATAGACAAGAAAATGATGGACACAGGATGCAACAACAAAACATTGCTTGAAAACAACAGCCAACTAGTTCAACCCATTGGATGAGATCATCAAACATGGGAGATCACTCAGAGCAAAAATATTTCACTTCTAACAGTTGACTAGGAAATAAACACATAAAAAAAAACTTTACACAAAAAATAAAAATAAATTAAGATCTTTGGTAAAACCAGTGTATTGTACACAGAGATTTGGTGTGTACATATATTTCATAAAACAAAAGTTAAAATTGATAGTGTAGAATTTTGTTTAGTTTAAAATAAAATGACATGTCCAAAAAATAAGTCTGTTAACTTAAATGAATATTTTAATTGTTCTTGTACTATTTTGAATGTCCAATAAGTTAAGAATTGAAACTGAAAACTAAAACACAAAAATCACAACCATGTAAGAAACAGGGATAACAAAAAAAAAACATATTACTGCCAAGTACTGTAGGTACTGCCAAGTACTGTAGGTACTGCCAAGTACTGTAGGTACTGCCAAGTACTGTAGGTACTGCCAAGTACTGTAGGTACTGCCAAGTACTGTAAGGTATTGACAAGTACTATAGGGTACTGACAATTAGGACTTGTGCTGTGACTCAAGTCTACACAATCATTATCATAAGTCTAAGATTGCATCATGGCTAGCTGTCACTTAAGTTCTTATCTGTTACTAATTAACCAAATAATTGTTTTTGAAGTGAAATTTGTTTCAACCAGCTGGTCCTACACTGGACAATATTTTGTACATATTTTTGTTTCATTTCTAAGTGAGATACTGTTGTTCTTTTCAACTTGATAGTCTAGTGCTTATCTCAATGAATAATTCACTTGGTTACACAAGCTAAGAACTAATGAGTGGAAACTGAAACATCATTTTCTGAGTAGATGAAACAGCCAAATGATAGATGTCAAGAAGTTTCTGATCTTTGGTAGCATTCCAAAGAAATAGTGAGAAACTAGTTAACCAAGTGTCTGAATACTGGATGAAAACTTTCATTCAACAGAACCTCTACATCTGTACAAGTGATCCAATGGAAATGATATTTTATTATGACTTGACTTAATGTGATTCACATATACAACATAAACCATAATAAGTAATCAAAGAAATTGAATAACCAAAGAAACATTAAGAGAAGAACATGACAAGCAATAGATCCAGGAGCATTGAAGACTTCACTGAAAATGTGATGTCCATAAAAGTAGACATACATCTACTCCAACTTGTACAAACACATACACAGGAAGTAGTTCATCATGAGGTCTAGTTTCTCCTCCAGCTAGTCCGTAAACTGATTTCACAGCCACACAGGTGACTTAATACAGCCAGACAGGTGACTTAATAGCTCAGCCTAGTGAAGACATTGAATGATTGAAGTTCATACAATCAATTGGTCATAGAAAAGAATGAAAAAAATTGTAATTTTCAATTTTGAATTGTTCTTATCATTACTTCCAGCTAACTTCATTGCCTTGAACATGGGGACACGTTGAAATCACAAGCTAATACTCTGGTGAATCAATCCAAATGATTGTGAAGCTAATACTCTGGTGAATCAATCCAAATGATTGTGTTCTACCAAGTTCAACTGAAAACAATCCATCACAATGGATGCAATGCAATACACAAATGTATACAATGACCAATAGAAAAAAAAAATAATTATTTTCTGAATGATTTTTGTAACAGAATTTAACTCAACTTCTAAAACAAAAGAATAAAATGAAAATATAAGTTTGTTCCAAAAACTACTAATTAAAATTAGAGATGTAAATTAAAATCATTGATAAGTATAAAAATGTGAAACATTTGTAGTGATCCATTGAACATTTAAGTTCTAGTCAATCAGTTGTGCAGAACAGATTTCATTGATCAAAGTATTCAGGTTACAAAATTATTCCATAACTTAAGTAGTAACTTATTTTCAGTACTACAAATTCAAGAAACTAGAAATGATGATGCTAAAAAATCATGGTTGTGATTGACAAGGATTATAAAATGAAATTTACATATATATATATATCTATATATATAATTATATCTGTATATAAAAACAATTCCATTATTAATTTTTAGAAATACCAATAAATAATTATCAATCGCTATAACCTTTGGAAAAGCATGTGAATATAATTTCTGTACATACATTATATAATAGAACCATTTCTATTTTAAACAGTGGAAACATATTTTTTGAAACACGCATGATGTCTATCTAAAGCCTTACAAACTCAATCTAAACACATACAAAGAATGAGCTATTACAAACTCAATCTAAACACATATAAAGAATGAAAATTTACTTTGAAAAAAAACTTTATAGAAAAAAATGCCATTTCTTGATGCTACTAAAATGACAGCGCTAAGTCTGGACAGCAATGTCTCAAGTTGAGCTTCAATAGAAAGTGGAGAAAATAATAAATACACACAAAAATGGATTTAAAAAAAATATCTCTTAATATAATACCAAGAAAGAAATATAAAATCTGGCAAGATACAACGTATCAACAACACTGACAATAGAAATAAGCACCTCTAGACTACTGCCTAGAGGGAGTGAGATTCAAAGAGAAATAAGAGGGCTCAAAAATCTTTCTTCTTGACAATACTGAGATTAAAACATAGGTTACAAAAAAAGAAACACACAGAGATAAAATGAAATTGTATTTCTGTTGTTTCCATGCAAGACAATCACAGAAAGTAATGTTGCTTTTCAAATGAGTTCAAAACAGTAATCCAATGACATTGTCATTATGACAACACAGATGTGCCAATGCTGAGAGGTCATGTGATTGTTACAAATACTTAGTTCTTGGGATTCTTACTGATGGTTAGGTTTTCTGGAATACGTTTGGTTCAATACTATATTTTGAGTTGAGACAATGTAGTCAAGCCAGATAAAGAGCCATTACACTGCTATTCGAATGAGTCTATCCACACAACTTATTCTTCTATCCACACAACTTATTCTTATCTTTACACAGCTATGCTTTTGTAGACAACAAAATGTACATCTTAGTGAGAACTGAAATCTCTTGTGTACCATGACAAAAATTGTACACTACAGTAGTAAACAAAATGTCCAGAAGCAATCATTATAAAATAGAACTTTTAGTACATGGTTTTCAATTGAGACAGATTTCTGTTTCCTTATATATAATCTTGTATCATATTCATTGAGTTGCAAATAAAAATTTGTTATATCAATAGTAAAAGTCAAATTCTAAAACAATAACATACAAAATAAATGCAGTAAAAGTGTCAAAAAGTTCCAGATCAGTTTGTCAAATGTACACCATATATATAAATGTTAAGATACAATGACCTTTCAAATTTGAAGTCCACCAGTAGATATTAAGAATAGATCAATAACCTTTGACCCTGCAGTTCTACCAGTAGAGAATGAGTATATTTGAGGTAAGTTGGAGTCGATGTATGTGGTTGTACAGCTGCTATCACCTTACAGCAGGACAGTGGAAATCACTTTGAGTACTAAGCTTAATCCTCCACATAATCATGTTTGTTTGTGTAGTCTTGATTGATTTCAACTTTCACTTTTATTCTTGTAGAAATATCTGGATCAAACTGAGTACCCACACCCCCACACATGCTTGCCTTCAGGAGTTGTTCCCTCAGTTCAGCATGATTGTCTCTGACTTGGTATTGGAATTCATCCAGTTCTCTCTCTTTCTGTGGTATCTGCCATCTCTCTTGCCAATAAGAAACTGAATAGAGAAGAGATCTAGAAGACTACAGCCCAGCTTCATAGAGTTGGTCCAAAGCAGAAGCAAAAGAATGACTGGTGTGACCAAGACAACAAGGACTACCAAAAGCTGAGACTAAACACTTGTGGAGCAATGGAAGTGGACAACCAACTGCTCCAACTGCTTAACAAATAGGAACTGTGATTTGAGCCAGTTTTTCTTCTGCAGGATTGTAGCCCATGTTTTTTCTCTGGAGGAACATGTGGATCTCCCTGAAAGTTGGCCTCACACTTTCCTGACGATTCCAACACTCACACATTAAGTCATAGATTTCTTTAGGACAATTTCCAGGCATTGAGAGCACTGTCTGCAGGTTGTCATCTCGATAGCAGTGGCCAGCATTTTCTATCACTTCTTCATCTGTTAAAGCTAGAAATGGTTGCTCCCGTGCAAAGGTCAGGATCTCCCAGAGTGTGACAGCAAAAGACCAGACATCACTCTTGGTTGTGAATTTACCCTGAGAAATAAAATGGATGTGACAATGCAGTAGATTAGAGAGCCAAATCCCTACACATGCTATTTGTGCAATATAAACAGGAAGAAATGAGCCTGAGATAGTAAAAGTAGATTTTAGTGACATTTAATAGCCCTTTTATTGTCAGTTAATAATGCAAAGAGTTTTTGGACTGAAATTTGATGACATTTTGCAAAATCCTTGGGGGTGTAAAGGCTGAATAGTAAACCAGTTGACTTCCAAATTGCCAAGTGGTATTAGGTTAAAACCTCTGTGGAAACTGGAATTTTGAAGATGCTCCTAAATCCGTACAATTGTAGGTTGGGAAAGTAAAGGCAGTTAGTGGTGGCACTGGCCAACTGACATCCTTGTTTAGTCACCCTACATCTTCTGCTCCATAGATCACAGTCTGAAAGGGTTACTTTAGTTGTTTTGTTTTTTTACTAAACAGAAAATCCTTAAAGACTGACAGTATTTCATTACTACATCTACGTATAGTTTCATACAATCAACATTACAAATAGCAAGTAAATCAAATCCTCTCTTAATTAGCAAGTAAATCAGGTCCTCTCTACTTACCAAGAGAATACTTTCCCAGGCCATCCAGCGTATTGGTAAAACAGCTCGCCCCTCAATCCTGTAGTAGTCAGAGCTATACAAACTTCGACTCATGCCAAAGTCAGAAATCTTAATAAGAAAGTGATGTCCTACTAAGCAATTACGAGTAGCTAGGTCACGATGTACCATGTTTAATGACTCCAGATATTTCATTCCAGAAGCTATTTGTGAAGCAATGTAGATCAGACACCCATAGCTATAGAGAAAAAAAAATGTATTAGACAACCACACAGTTGGAGGAGAAATGATGGATAGATTGTGTACAGCCTATTTTTATAGAACTGATCTTGGAGTATAGCTTAATATAATTAAATTATTTTGAGACATATTTAATGCCTAATGTTTGATAAACATTGTGTGTAGGTTGTCCTGACAGAAGATTTTACAAATAGTAATAAGGTCAAGGTAAAAAATGTTTTAATCCCATTGACTCCTATACAACTTCTCAAGTCAACTATTCTTATAAGCAGCTAGGTGTATATCTAGTGTTTGTTTAGACCAATACTATTTATATTCTGAGCTTAGGAAGAAACGCTAAAGGAAAGGAACATTTTGTGTTCATACTGAAGCCAGTTTCATTCTTACTGTGGAAACTCCAATTATACATAATTCTGACCTGGTCCATCTTGATTTTCATACAGATGTGACACAACTAGCATAATCCTGGTCATAAATTTAGGCACATCTATACAAAGATACTTCTGAATTAATCTAAGAAAGACATTATGTCCATCTTGTGCAGCTAATGTAAACACTTTGTACAACTTACCAATGTAGTTCAATTTATGTTATCTATGTTTTAAAAAAACACTTATGTAGTACAACCTATAAAAGATGTATAAAAATGCCACATTCAAAAGTAAGCACTGCATGGTTGACCTAGCCTTGAACCTTTTTACTAAAAAAAAAATTGCAACTAGAATGATGTCATAACACCCTTGTGAACAGACACTCTACATCTTATACCCTACAGATGGCAGTCTGAAAGGGTTACTTAGTTGTAATTGCAAGACTGGGAAAGGGAACAAAAAGGCTTACGTCACACCTGTATCTCAGACTCTCAGAGAAGTCAACCTAGTCTACAAAAGGAGAAGACTGTTAAGGATCACTTGGTTTAAGTCCTAATAGATCTACTAGTTTGGCTTCAAAAATCTTTTTTACATCTCTAATAGATCTACTAGTTTGGCCTCAAAAATCTTTTTTACATCCCTAATAGATCTACTAGTTTGGCATCAAAAATCTTTTTTACATTCCTAATAGATCTACTAGTTTGGCTTCAATCATCTTTTTTACATCATTTCAATATTGCAGTTCAAATTTCCTTGGGAATTAGAAAAATAGAATAAAGTTCAACTCTTTGATCTTAATTTTGTAATTGAATGTTCAAGAGAAACTGGTATATGAAAGAATGTTTTGTTATATGTAAAGCACAACTATAAGAGAGGTTTCTTCTGTAGTATTATTTCAACTTGTGGATGTTTCTGATGTGATTTCTTCCTTACAAAGTGGGGATGTGGCCTGGACAAAAAACTCTTACATCCCCATTGAAGTTCTACACAATCAAGTAGAACAATGCGACACTAATTTATTTGTGTAATGAACATTTGTTAGACATTAGGAACAACCTAATTGTGTCATCTGCTTATGTAGAACAACTTATAAAAGATGTTTTATTCAACCTACTTGTGTGTTATGATAGTACAATCCCCCTGTGCAGAAAGTGTGTACACCTTTGTGT